AACCGGGTGGGTGTCTGGGGGTCCCATTATAATTAAACAAGTTTTAATGAGTAATATCCGATGGGTGGGGTCAGAACAAATGGTTAGTGCTAGTGTTAAAGTTTGTGTCAGTAAAGAGTTCAGGTTAGAAATAAGGTTACACTTTGGAAAAAATATCAAATTTTAAAATTGAAACTCATGGTCATTCTCCATAGTTGGTTTGTTCTATTTACCTTTAAGTACATTATTAGTACAGAATCATGCAATGCATCGAGACAAGCAGTTAAAACTTTATTTTTTACTTACTCTTTTTACCTCTAAACTTAACACCGACTCACATGGAGTGAAGGACCAGGTCTGAAAATATGAATAAATTAAATTTTCAAAACATATTAAGTGGAAACAAAAAGATGTAATTAGAATTTTCCCGATTTTGTTTCCTTTATATTTTTTGATAATTTATATTTTAAATATATTATATAATGTCTAAGGGGGGGGGGGGGTGTCCACTTCCTCAGGGGCCCACTTGCCATTGGGCAAGCTGACAACCTGGCCAGTCCGTCACTGGTCACGGGTTTGACCCCAACCAAATTTGTAACATTATCTTGGCTTTTAATTACTCAAATATGAATCCAACATTAGTGTCACTCTAACGTTTCAGCTCCTATTTTTTAACATGGCTCCAATGGGACACTACCTCTATCCACTAGGGGTTAACACTTTATCGAGGTCAAAAGTAATATGTAAAGTGTTATCTAATTTATGTTGTTATTTTTTCGTCTAATTTCATTATTCAATATTAAAATCCCTTCAATATTTATACAAAACAAACAAGAACTGATCTTTGTTGGGGTCAATTCTCTAGAAAAAAAAGCCAAGAAATCGCCGAAGCAGGATAAGCAGAAACCATGTTTGAATTTGTTTCGGGTAACCCTATTGTTTTTGGAGACTCTACCTTGTAAGTTTATGCACGGTTGAATGAAAATAAAGCTGTAGGTACCCCTCTGTTTGGCTTAAAGGCTCAATACCACTCTTGTTGTAACTGAATAATATGTCCCAATCTTTATTCTGGTCAATTAATTGATTTTACAAATTTCATCTTAACACACCTAATTTAAAAAAATGGAAAAATTCAACTAAATGATTTGAAAAGCCTGACGTAAAGCTTTTCAAATGTGACTTGGATTTAAAAATATTTTTGAACCCTCTGGACAAGTAAAATAGGATTTAATGGATAACTTACACAACAGGTAGGGCACTAACACATCTAGTACTTAGAATAAGGCTATTTTTTATTTTCTGGAGCTGTCAAGCCAGCAATAGTGTTATTGTTCCTTTAACACTAAATTTGAGGTCAAAAGTTAGTAAAATATTTACACTAGTGTTACATTACGTCATAACTATTTACTCGGACACTACTTTTGAACTCACCCAATCAACATAATAAGCAAATTTTTTTAGTTCAAATCCGCAATACATTTTAGATGAAAACGAAAATCCATTGCTTGCTCGCTCTCTCTCTCTCTCTCTCTCTCTCGGTATCCAAGGCATGAATGGAGCGCAATGTCTCGTCAACACAATAATTTGGCCATTTTAAGACTATGGGTATCTGTGCAATGGTAGACAGGGGAATTTTTCCAGGACAGCAGCATTTCCGCCTACCCACCATCAAATTCCAACTTCATGGGTTCTTTAACATAGATCTCTACTTGTACACAGGGGAACGTCAATATTCCATCTTTTAAACATCTCCTTTCATTTCAGCAGGAACATGGTTTGAAAAATCCGAGGGTTATTCTCGGCCAGAAATAGTATACTAATTTATGCCTCTAAAAAATATTTTCATAATTAGCTTCGTGAAGGGGTTCTTATGCCTCTAAAAAATATTTTCATAATTAGCTTCGTGAAGGGGGTTTGTCGAGGAAACTCGACAAACCCCATGTCTTGAATAGAAAACGAGCCTTATAACCTGCACCGCACACACCAAACAATCCCTCCACCCCGTCCCATGTTCAAATGGTTTATGAGAAGTCGAAACTATGCTAAAAAAAATAGCTCAATTTGTCCCTGTAAGATGCCCCTGAAATAAAATGGAATTTAACATCCTGCTCTTCTGCTCCGACTGGGCTAATGAAGACGGGCATACGCCATACAGTGTGCTATAAGGTAAATTTTGCTCGGACAGAGGCGCTATGGCCTACTCTTATAACTAATCAAAACTGCCAGGGGATCTTTTACGTGCATGGGACCTTGATTGTTCGTCTCACCCAAACAACTATACGTTGTACCTTGCCAGGCCCTCGGTCAAGGAGGATCCATGCCGGAAAATCCCGATGAACTTTCTCGGCCAAAGCAGGGATGGAACACGGGAACTCCAATTAGCGAGCCAACATCTTACTCACCGAGCCACCATTACTCCGTATGATGCCCTTGCCCGATACGACCATTTAAACTAATTTACTTAAACCCAGATGATATAAGTTTTAAGGTTCCAAATGTATACTCTATTGGGTTACCACGGAACGGAATGTCGCAGAACGCTGAAAATCCGCCATTTTTAATTTCTGCTATCACGGATTCTCGACATTCGTTTTTGAGATCAAAATTGAACCCAGCGACAATGTAAATGTTACAAGTCATATTCAACAGAAGTTACGATTGCCATTTCGTATTCCATTTTAAGTGCAATTTTTAATTACTGCCATGTTTGATTTCGAAATTTATTTTTAAATTCAATCGAAAACCACACAAAAGACAAAGCAAAAGTCGTGTCTCACGAGATACTGGCTATATATATAGTTATATGGGGAAAATACCATTTTATTACCTAATTTGGCAGCCATTTTGAAAGAATGACCGGTACCATGTAAAAATTACATTTTACTTTTTTTTTTGTGCCAAATTCGTTTTTTTTTAATTCACACTTTACTTGTACAACAAATCTATTTTTGTCCAGCACTATATTAGTGCACTGGTTACGAGATATCGTTCTCCGAAACTTCTGAAGACCGCCATATTGATTTATGATAATTGCGTCATTTCCCCCCGTGGTCGAATTTGAATAAATGTTGTCTGACATGTATGATCGAATCAAACCTGATTGGTTTCTTTTGCAATTTGTTTGGGGTAGATTTAAACGTTATTCCCGTCCCCCCACCCCCTCAGAAATCTGATCTCTCTATCTGTTCACAAGCTTTTCCAGACAAATAATATGACTCTGAATAGAAAGTCCTAGATTGCTGAAAATAAACAAAGTAAATGCTTTCCGATTCTCAAACGTCCTTATGCTTCAAACGAAATTTGAAAAAGATAGCCATGCAAATTTATCAAATTTGATATTTCGGCAAAGGGGGATAATTCTGGCATGGAAAGTCGTAGAATGCTGAATATCGCAATGGTTCGTTCTCTAATGGCCATAATTTGAAAAGAATCTGTTAAAAACCATAGGGTGAGAGGAATACAAAGGGTGTAAAAGTGAGGGTTCATCCTTTCATGACTACAATGCTTCACAACAAATTTGAATATGATCCGTCAAAAACTGTAGACTATTGGTTCACAAGTGGTTTTCGGCAAAATGGGGATGAGAAATAACTCCAGAACCGAAAGTTGCGGAACGATGAAAATCGATACGATTCGTCCTATTAAGATCACAATGCTTCATGCCAAATTTGAAAAGAATGCGTGGAAACTACAGCCTTTATCCCATTCAAAAGGTTTTCGGAAACGGGGGATAAATACGGAATGGAAAATGGCAGAACGTTGAAAATCAGTAGGCTTCATCCCCTCAATATCCTAATGCTTCACAGAAGTTCACACCAAATTTAAAAAGAATCCGCCAAAAACTAATTGTTGACTAATTGCCGAAACGATTGTTTGTCGGACATGGGGATGACAAGAATAATATATAAATGTCAGTTATACGGTATTTCATGACTGGAAATAGATGTAATTCTTTCTTTCGGAACCAAACCAAAAAAACAACCAAAAAAAGATTTAAATAGCACTGTATTTCACTTCTGTACAAACACGCAATTAACATTAAATGGCACAAACCCAATTAGATTGGAAAAGATATTCAAATAGAAATTAATTAATCATCAATTTCTTTACAGTTTTTATGACTAGAAATAGATATCATTTTATTTAAATACATAAATGTATATTTTTGGATGTAATGTCCATTATTTAATCAGCAAAACAGTTTTTGAAAATGTACTTGAATATTTATTATTAATTTCTTGCTTTTTATGTAGTACTTCAAACTTTCCAATTATTATACATCACAATGGTTCCTTGATAAATAGACCTATATCAGAGAGATTGAATTAAAGATGCATTATGTAATAGCTAAATCTACCTATTGCAGGTCTTTTTTTTCTGGCTTCAAATCTTATATAAATTATTATTTAAACATTTATTCACATGACAACCCCATAATCAACTCTCTAGACCATTGGATGGCTGAGATGAGACAATCTGCATTAAAATGGATAATCAAGACATTTTTTATTATATCAATGGTGCTTAACATTTGAAATTATTTGTGTCATTTCTTGTCAAAACTTCATACATTCATTTAAATTATCAATTTTCAAACTATTATAGCTAGAATATCCAGCTCTTTATCTAAATCTTGCATAATACATCTTTAATATATAACTACAATTAATTAACAAAGAAACATCATACTGATTAATAAATAGAGAAGAGCAATCATGCACTAAATATCACTTTAATAAATAAAAATAAAATATAAAGTTTTGAATATCACATATTAAGTTATAGAAAAAAATATAAATACACAATATCTACATATCCATTTCTTTCTAAGCACAATGAAGTGGAATGTACTTTTATAATATTATATGAAACATGACAAAACTTAAGTTCAATTAATAATTATATTAATTTTCAATTTTAATCACAAAATCTCATAAGTTATGGAAGAAAATACAATATCTATATTATTAATATTTACAAATTTACATATTACATTTCTAGATCTACTAGTAGCTGTTTACTTACACAACAGCTAATCAAAAAGGAATACAAATCACAACTATATTTAAGAAACACATTTTTTTTTTAATTCAATTTTTATTTACAGTTGAAATCATTTGTATTATAATTTAATGTTCAATATTTCAAAATTAAAATATTAAGCATGAAAATTATAAAGTATTTACTTACACCATTTTACAATTTTGCATTTTTTTTAAGATGAACAAATAGTTAAAAAAAAACATAAATTAAAGTGAAAATCTGAGGGATTGTTGATGCTTTGCAAACTAGATTATTGTGAAAGTTGAATCTCTAAAAGGAATATCAGTTCAGTAGACTATTTAAAAGGATATGATAAATTGAAAATATATCAAAATTCTGTATCCACTTCTTATCTACCATTGATATTTTGATAATAAATTTGCTTATTTTTTAGTGGAGATAAGTCATTAAATATATTAGATATTGCAAATGACAATCAGTTACTTTATTTTTGAAATATGCAATATGTAGACAAATTAAAAAAAAACAAAGGCAATAGTTCTGTAGACATCCAACACAGCCATTATATGTATATACACAAGATGCTAAATTTACAAATAAGGACCTGCCTATAATAAAATAATATATTTTAATGATGACATGAAATTAAGAAACTGTATAATAATGAGACAATATAGTGGACTCTTTGATCCCCAAGCTTAATTCAACACTCTGTTAGTAATTAAACAAGAACTTGTCGAGTTAAGTCAGAACTGGGTACCAACCAGAATGGAACTATATTCTAATATAAATGAAATGAATAAAAATGGGGTTTAACTTTCTATTTTTCTAAACTAACCAGGAGAATGAATTAGAATATACATAAATATAATAAATAAACAAAAATGTATAAATAAACATAAATGAGCACTAATTTGATAATTTGGCAAAAATGGAATATATTTATAAAGAAAGCCACACAAAGCACAGAAATACACCCACACAGCAGCTGTTTCAGCTGCAGAAATCTAATCTCTGTTGTGTTCATCCTTTCCGGTTCCAATGCTTCACACCAAATTTTAAAATCAACAGGGATAATATTCTTTAAGTCCTAATGCTTCAAAGGAAATTGGAATAATTTCATATTTCTGCAAAGGGGGGATAACTCTGGAATGGAAAGTTGTAGCGTGTTGAATATAGAAATCGTTTGCCCTCTAATCACGGCAATGCCACAGCCTTTATTGCATTCACAATTTTTTTGGCAAAAGTGGGACAATTCAGGAAGGAAAGGTTACCCTCTCATGACCAAGATGCTGTACACCAAATTTGAAAAGAATCCTTGAAAAAATGCAGCCTCTATCGCATTCACAAGGTTTTCGGTGAAGTGGGGATAGGTCCAAATCTGGAAAACATCTGTTAAAAACTACAGCCTATATCGTTTTAAGAAGGTTTTCGGCAAAGGGGATATAACTAATGCCCGAAAGGTCACAGAATGCTGAATATTGTTAGCATTGCCCTCTAATGAACACAATGCTTCAAACCAAATTAAGAATCCATCGAAAACTGTACCCTTTATCGTGTTTACAAAACAATTGTTGACAGAAGGACTGACCGGAAATGTCGGTGTACGATACCAAAACACCAAGTGTGAATATAATCTTCTACTGTTATAGACCAATATTAATTACGATAAATATCTTAAATATAAAACATTTACTAATAAACTTTTTACCTTCATCTGATTTTTATTCTTGAGCAAATTCTGATGTAAAAGTTTCATAGTTTTCTATGGTTCCTTTATTGACATGAACATATTTTCAATATTTTTGCCAGTCTGTTGCTAGGAACTCGATTAAAACATTTGAAAAAATCACTGATTCAGGACAACGAACATTAGTTTTTAAAGGTAGAATGAACATATTTTTTTTCTATCTTTTAGATCCTCAAATGCTGATCTTGAATATGTTTTTTTTTCTATCTTTTAGATCCTCAAATGCTGATCTTGAATATGTTTTAATACTTAAATCTTTGTCATTCAAATGAATCTCTAAAATTCTGTTTCGTAAAGTTCATTTACACATAAGTTTCTCTGGACATTCTCATAACATCATCAGACAGACAGCTGGATATAAAATTATTTCTATCACTATTTCCAATTTCAGTTTCACTCCACACAACACTTTGTCTGTAGGAATAATCTGAGGGGAAATGATCGGATGGGGAACTAAATGACTGTAAATTTGAGGAGTATCGTAGAATAGGGCGAAGCATAGCTGCATTATATGAAGGGACAGCACCAGCAGGGGATGGGGTTGAAGTACAAGGTGAGATAAGATTCTGCCGTGTGGGTGAAATGTACGACTGGTTCTTATCTTGTACTGGTTTAGTTTCTAAGATGGCTTTTCCTTTTGTTGGTGACAAATATTTGATTTTTATAATCTGGTTGTTGGTTTGCCAATCTCGACAAACTTTATAATGATGTCTCATTGCAACCTGAAACAAAATCAGATAGGCTCAAATACTTGTCAATTTTTATACAATGTCTAAAATACATTAGTATGCTAAATGAAGAAGTCTTCTATATTTTCTGATATAAATTTTGTTTTGTGTATAAAGGTAGACAACTGTATTAATTATGAAGGCAGACAATCATTAATCTCCCCATTGACTTCAATTTTAATTCTAATCTTTTTGCTTTCCATGCCATTATGCCTTATAAGTAATAATAAACATGTAACTAATTTGAAATAACCAGTATTAATAGGGAACAAGATAATAATTTTAATATACTATGATTAGCATTTATTTCTTAAATCACAGTAAATATAAGGTATAAAATAAAATACTTACGAAGCACCACACTGCATATATCATAAGTAGACAACTAGTTAATATGGCTAAACCAGGGACTTCCCACCTTCCATCCCATTGAGCATAATGTCGGACACCCATCATACATAGAAATGCACTGATACCAGTTAAGGGTGTCAATATAAAAAAACATACAATATCACAAATCATATTTCTTCTTTCTGTGTTCTCTGATGGCTGTTTTAAAAACTGAAAAAAACAAATTCTGAAGAATGACTTTTTTCTTCTTGAATCAGTGAGGTTAACTGCAAGAGCACATAATTTGTATATTCATAAATAGCATGTACTTGAACTTTAAGTACATTTGAAGCCAGTATGATTATCATACAGATATTTCATGTTTTAACTGATTAAAATTATTCTCTGCTCGTATGTCGCATATTAAACCAGTTAATATAATGACTAAGCTTTATAGACTAATCATTAACTATTTCCAATTAATCAAAACTTAACAAATTAACTGTTTGGGTTTCATATAGCAAAGACATATATTAGTGATATATGATTTAATTTGTTCATGAACACCTGAAATAAATATAGGCTCCTCAAAGTATAGGTAACGGACGTACAGAAATGAACACTTGATTTGCCTGCATGAACCTAGTTGCAAAACTCTGTGAATTGTCCTGTGGAATTCAAAAGATTTAATCCCTGTAAGAAAGGAAACTAATACTAGATGTGTACTGTATGATCACTTCTGACATTTGGATTCTTGTAACCCAGTAAATTAGAAATTATTGTGGTAACGGACATACATATTTTCTGGCAACAGACGTACAAGTGCAAATTGCTAACCCATTACATGAGATATGTAAACTTTTAAGTAATGGGACTGATAGATAATAATAATAATTAACTCATTTGAATTAATGGAGCAGTTACTTTCCTGAAAAGATTACTCCTTGCATAAAATATTGTGACCTAAACATTTTGATAACAGACGTACATTTTATTTTGTTAACAGACGTGCATACATAAAACCCCAAATGATTCAGAGAATTTTAGCAAATGTTTTCTTTTTAAGGTCATAATAACAAGAATGGGTAATATTAGCTTTAAATAGGAGTTTTTGAACAGTTCCATAAATAAATATGAATGAGAGATAAAATGTAAATATTTGGTAACATGAAATACTGTGAAAAGTAACGGACGTACATTTAATGTATAAATATCATGTTTATATACATTGTCAGATAACTAATGCCAAATCATTCATTATGATTCAGAATTATCAAACAAACACAAAGTAAGAAATTACAATAAAATTATAAATTCAACATTTACAATGTAAACCTTGACAAAAGACGAAATTAAAAAAAAATCGGAAGAGTTGCCGCCTAATTTTAAGGTTGCCTTCAAAATATAGATTATTTCTCACCATAAAACACTATTTTTGTCCACTTATCAACTAATTAAATTTTTCACCTAATTGTATACTTTGGCGTGGAATTGCCCAACAGGTGTTTAGGTGTGAACAAACATCTTATAAAATAGTAAATCGGTTAATTATTTAAGAAGAAATATTATCACTTTAATTCTTTTATGAACAAACTGTTATTGTTTTCTTTTTAATTTTGTAGAGAAGCCATGGCAACACACAGAACACAGAAAATCCAGAACGTTCATTCTATTTGTAAACAATCTGGAATGACACATATCAATAAGGTTCGTCCTCTCATGACTCCAATGCTTTTTACCAAATTTAAAAAAGATCTGTCAAAAACTGTAGCCTATATCACATTTACAAGCAATTGTTGACGTACATCCAAACAGGATGACGACTATATATATATATGCACCCAAACAGGTGGCACTGTATCATGTTTATTATGATCTGGACCCCATAAAAATATTCTTGTTCTCAATGCCACATAAACATAAATCATTATTTTTACCATGTGTTTATATGTCCTGCATGAAATGGGGGATAACTCTATGGTGTCGGGTGAATTTGGAAGTGTCAACTAGCCTCAGCAGATAAACCTTTTAGCACTTAGACCGCCCCAACAACAGCTCCTTAAATAGCCATGCCATCTGCATTGCTATTGTGCCTGCTAACTAGTAAATGGTCTATAGCTATTTACATATCTTGGTAGTCTGAGACTCTCTTAAAGGAACAGTAGTTTCTGACTGTTTTGGTCTGTTCAGGGATGTACCGCTGTTAATATGTCACTTTTTTGTTCATTACCTTCAAGGAACTGGGGTAGTCAATATTTACATGTACAAATGCTAAAAAGTTAACAAGAACACAAAAGTGATAAATGTTCAAGACAATCATTATAAAACCAGGAAGGACTGGCAAGGGGATCGGCTGATCTCATTTCTATAACACTGTCCTAGTCACAAATTTGTTTAGTGTGCGCTCAATTAAAATAAATCTTCCCCACTTTACTGATATTTTTAAGGATCGTCTCAGAACCACAATAATTTTTTTCCATCAACTTACTTCAAAAGATATATTTTACATTCATTTACCTGCCAAAAAGATCTAGCTTGTCTTTCTACTTTGAACTGATATTTACAGATTTCACAGCGTGTTGTATTGGAGGTTCCAAGCCATCTCTCTAGACATGTTACATGTAAAACTCCAACAGATCCAGCACAATAACATGGTGCTACTAATTCTTCATGTGCATCACCTTCATGACAAATACGACATATGCCAGTATCACTGAAATGATGTTAATTAAATGAAAATTAATTAAATGCTAAATATTTTAATTAACTGAATGAAAGCAAAATTAAATGAACGAACATGAATTACATTGTCAATCATAATTCCTTTAATGTGATAAGGCAATCTGAACGACAGACTCACCCTACCTGCAGATAGTCAGCTACCATTTAATTTTCGTATGTTACTTACGTACGGGGATAATAAGGGATACAGTATTACAGTGCAGTCAAAATCAAAATAATTGAAACCATCTGTCCGAGAGTGGCTCTCATTTTTCATAATAACTTGTTAATCATAAATAATGATATAATAAAAAACATACTCTGAAATAATAATAATCTACAAGTGCATGTAGACAAGCTTAAAATGTTTATTTACGATAGCCGAGACATGAACCAATAGTCCAATACATGTAATATGATTAAAATTTGAAGTAATTTAGCTATTAATACTTCATACAGGCATAATATTGCAGATAATACCCCACCTATCACTTGACTAGAGTATTAGGGGTCAAAGATGCTAAACTGGCTACATGTATATCTTTCTGGGCTTAATTATTGAAAGAATAGAGATTGTCCTACCACAAAACAAACTATCACATATTATTCACGGAAAAAATTTCAAACTATAGTATAGTCACTTCTATACCACCTTATGGTTCATGTTCTGTACAAAAAGAGATTGTCAAATTGTCACTCTTTAGTCTCCATGTAGTTACCTCCCTTTATATGGATTTTTCTTCATTCAGAGAAAGTTGAGACCGACAGTTGTACCAAGATTGCATGCATTACAAATACTTTTAAATAGAGTTTAGTTTTAAATAATATCAGCAACAATATATCCGAAAAGTTTCATAAACACAGGGTGGAGACTCATTTCATAATGTATAATAAGTTCAGAAATTCACTAGATAAATAAACTATAATTATCAATATATCCCAAAAATCTAGACAAGCAGTTCATTCGAATATGCTGACACAGCTTAGAGAAAAAATAAAGTGAGAAAATAAAACTAAACCTTAAAATACTTGAAGATAAATGTGGATTTGAAGTTCCATCATTGATGCCTGGGGTAGAAGTCAAATTGGGACCTCTGGGACTGGTCGGTAATGATGTCACACTAGATGGTGATAACTTGAGTGATTTATGCGACTGGCTTTTACAGACTTGTAAATTTGATAGGGAAGGACCTGGCACGACAACTTTCTTAGCCGCTTCTAAACCTGTTTCAGAAGCTGATATGGCTTTCATAAAACTTGGTGTTCTAGTTGGTGTAATTGTTGGATCATCTAATAAAACTGTGTCGCTTACAACTGCTCTAGCTTCAATAGGATACGGTGAGAAGTCTGACTGAAAAAATAAGTATCACCAGAATTATGATATATAAACTGTAATATTATCGGTGCATAAATTTTATTGTGGTTATTCTATAGTTTAAGCTGATAGGGTTAATGTCTTGGAGGATTTGCAGGAGTTCTATCTTGCCTACATTTACACAGAACTACAATTTCCATTCAGATTATCACCCTAATGAATGAATTTGTCCACCAATTTTTTCTAAACAAGCAGTTGTTTTGCCAGAAAAAGCTAAAAAAAAAGAAGCGATTTTTCGTACAATCAGGGGCCATAAACCAGGAAGTTACGGTCGGATATGTGTGATTATCTACAAGAAACTACAATTTGTCAGGCAGTTTTGGTCCGATTTTCACGAAATTTGAACTCAACCACCATTAGGGTGTAACGGTGATAAATTGTGACCTCTAGAGGGTCCACAAGCTAAAAACAGGATTTTTCGTATAATCAGAGGCAATAATCTAGGAAGTTACTATCCGATATTCACAAATATCGAAAGGAACCAAGGTCTTTGGATTATAAACTATACATTTCAAGTTCCGTCAAAATCGGATAAAAACTGACTTCTAGAGTGTCCACAACCTTGTTATTACATATTTTTACACTATTTGTGTACAAGGAGCAGCGATTTTGTTAAGCAGTTTCGGTCAGATTTTTAGGAAATACTAACTCAATCTTCATTGATGTATAATAATGATGATATATTTAAACATTTTTTAAAATTGAATACAAATTGTGACTTCTAGCGGGCCCACAAGCTAAAACTGTGATTTTTCGAACAATCAGGGGGCCATAATCCAGGAAGTTAAATTTGGATATGCGCGAATATCGAAAGGAACCAAGATCTTTGTGATATAAACATAAATTTAAAGTTCCATCAAAATAGGATACTATATTTTTATACTATTTGCGTACTATTTATGTCCGGCAGTTTTGGTTTATTTTCACAAAATTTAAACTCAACTATCATTAGGGTGTAACAGTGATATGTTCAAACATTTTTTCAAATCAGATAAAAATTGTGACCTCTAGAGGATCCACAAGCTAAAAACACGATTTTTCGTACAATCAAGCAAGGACCATAATTCAGGAAGTTATGGTCCGTTATGCTCAAATATCGAAAGGAACGAAGATCTTTGGGTTATAAACATGTACTTCAAGTTTCATCAAAATCAGATCAAAATTGTGACCTCTAGAGTGTTCAAAACGTTTGCGTATGAGGGGCAGCCATTTTTGGTCAGATTTTAACGAAATTCAAACTCAACCAACATTAAGGTGTAACGGTGATATATTCGAATGTTTTTTTTAAATCTGATAATAAATGTAATTGTGACCTCTAGAGGAACCAACAAGCTAAAAACGTGATTTTTCGTACAATCAGAGGCCATAATGCAAGAAGTTACGATCCGATATGCACGAATATCGAAAGGAACTAAGATCCGTAGGTTATAAACAATCTAAAAATGTGATCCATGAAGTTATGGTCCGATACATACCAATATCTAAAGGAAGCGAGATTTTGGGAGACAGACCTATATTTCAAGTTTCGTCAAAATCAGATCAAAATTGTGACGGATAACAATTGTGGAAGGATGGGGGCGACGGCATAAGACATCCACACGAAAATGTAGGTGTATAAAAAAGAGAGAGGGAGAGGAAAGGAAAAGAGTGCCAACCCACCCACCCTTGTTTTCTAACCAATAGTTAGAAACCAATAGTAGATATATATGCAATATTGATGAGCTAATTATATCAAGGGTCAGTAATGTAGATATTTGAAAACATGCTGAATTCTCTTTCTATCTATCTTTTATTAAGTCAATGGAACAAAATACTTTCCATCTGTTTTCTGTTATCTACTGTCATGGTTGTGAACAGTCTCATGTGGCTACAATTTCTGTGCATAGTCTTTAGAGATTTTTGATAAGTATGCAAAATTGATAATCCAAATTTCATTTTCATTGTTAAAATAAATAAGCTCCTAATATGCTTCTAATAAATATTATCATTTGTATCAACAAAGAAAACATTATACCATATTCCATGTCTGTGATGCCATTGTACTAAATAAATTGATGTGTCTAACATCAGTATAAAAGCATTTAACTAAAATTAAATTACCCTTCTTTTTATCTTAAAGTTGTTTACATGTGTTTAACATTTCATAGTCAGTGCACTGAGGTCTTATAAACAAATGCTTTTAATACAAGTTTAAATCAATAATATTAACAGAGAATTGAAACCGGTGCCACATGTGAAGATCAAAATCGCTTGCCAAACCTCTGTCACAGTTTCATTTATTGCACTGTCTGATTTGATTCCTAATAAACCTCAGAAGGCCTAACAATTAGCAAACTTGAAAATAGAGATTGAATTGGATTTAACGTGTTGTTAAAATAATATTTTGGTCATTTTAGGACTAATATATATACACGTAATACAGTAATTTCATCTTGACACTGCTATAGTGTGAAATGCGAGACAGAGATTTTACATGGATGGAAGCGTTTCCACAGACCTACTTTCAACCAAATTGCAAAAGATATTTAATGGCGACATGTCACATTATTAGCCTCGGCTTTTCCATCTGGAATTTTTAATCCAAAATTTTCCTATATAAGTTTACCTGTGATTAGTGGTTCGCTTGAGGTGAATGTTTTATTGCCGGAAGGCATCTGTCCGCCTTGTCATGTGAACTAAAGCGGGACATAATGCTGCATGAAACGGAGAGGTAAAAAAAAAGCTCAGCTTTCTATCCTGCTCATATGACAAAAGCAACAAAGACCCCTTTTAATACTAGTGCCCTGCCCTGCTTTATTCTAAAGGCAGTGGGCTAATCAACAACTGAAGTAACAATTCTTGGATATGGTATAATAAAATAGGCTCCGTATGAAATCTTTAACTGGGAATGTAAACAGAACAACTTAAAAGCATTTGCACCTGCATCCAATGCACATGGATCGACGCTGGCTACAATACTGTTGCGCTAAACTGTGATTAGCACTTCAATTGATACAGTCTAAGAGGCCTTACGCAAGTACAAGTAGTTCAAACGCACAATTGTCAACACATATCAGTACAATTTGTATTGAAATAAGTAATTTTATCACAAATAGTCAAGACTAAACCCTAAAATAGTTTTTCTTTGTGGTAAGTTTCGAAGCGATATATTTATTATAATGTACAAGCCGCCATGACACCGCCCAGGTGAAATCTCGCCAAATATCGCACACGTTAACCCCACCCATCCCTTACCTTATAAATCAGTTTTACTACACTTTTTTACCATGAATGCCACATATGGAAAGTGGTGGATGAGAACGTAAGTCAGGGTCTGCATGCTATTTCTGGCTGGGTGGACATTTTAAGTTGGATAGGAGAGAAATTTCGCATAACAGTTGGGTTTCATCAAATCATATAATTCGTCAATAGGCAGACGAAGTGACTTATCTTCCTACCGTAACCTATTGACGATAAGTCACTTCGTCTGCCTATTTACGAATTATGCGGTAAGGCTTAACCTTTTTTCAATGGGAATTGGTTTATTATGTAGCTATGTGCAGTACAGTTTGGGTCAGTTTATGTGAAAATTAAAGCATCTATAGGCCAGTAACATTTTTGTAGTCATTGACTAAAAATCTTGCACAAAGGAACTGTTTACGACCCATTACTGTGGCTGGAGTAATATGGAAGACATCAGTAGTGGCACCATTTCTAGGATCGAGGCTGAAATTAACCACCAGAAGCCATTAAAGATTTAATTTTAAAATGACTAGACCTATTCTTTGAATGGCATTTAGTAATTGGAACATAATCAAATAACACACTATTTATGGATAACAATTACTATGGTTTATTTCACTGCAACGTTTCAACAACATTTCATAAGTCGTTATACGAGTAATTGTGATTCATAAATAGTGTGTTATTTAAACATGCATTATGCAAGAGCTAAATCTGCCTATTTCAGATCTTTCTTTAGGCCTGAAATGTTATCTAAATTATTAATTAGACATTAATTAACCTATCCAGGCCATAATCAACTCTAGATGGCAGCGCTAGCCTGCAATCTTTAGAGGATTGTAAGCCGATTTACTGCATAACTTTCCTTCTCTATTAAACGATTAAATGGATAACCGAGACTATGCTATTTATCGTACTGACTTTAGTAATGATGACCGAGGCTTATGGGAATTTCAGTCGCTTAGTTCTTGGTTCATAGTGGATCAATTTGAATGAAATTTTCACCAAATTGCCTTTACATTATCTAGTTTTTAACTATTATAGTGAGAACTGCCAACTCGTTACCGAATCTCCCATAATGTATCTTTAATGACTAGACCTCTTTTATTTCACTTCAGTTTGTATGTTATTTTTTAAATTTTTATGTTGTCTTACAGGATGATGACAATCTGTCATCATTAATCTAAGTCAGTTATAGTACTGTCAACACTGTAAGCCAAACAATAAAACAAAAAAATTGGTATATAATAAAACAATTCCCATTTAAACATTATGCAAGAGCTAAATCTGCCTATTGCAGGTCTTTGTTTAGGCCTGAAAAGTTATAAATTATTAATTAGACATTAATTAACTTATCCAGACCATAATTAACTCTCGATGTCTTTGCTAGCCTGCGATATTTACTGGATTAGGATCTTATCTGCTGTTCTACGCTCATTCATGATTAATCGAAACTATGTGTATTTTATCGTACCGACTTTAATAATGATGATCGAGGCTAGGCCCAAATTTCAATCGCTAAATTCTTAGTTCAAAGTGGATCAATTTGACTGAAATTTTCAGCAAATTCCCTTTATGGGTATCTAGTTTTTAACTATAGATTATAGTGAGAACTATCAGCTCTTTATCTAGTCTCCCATAATCTATCTTTAATCTTTGGAACAGAATAATTCAATGGTACCATACAAAAATTTGTCAATCGCTAGGCTCATCGAAATAACACATTAATGAATGAATCAGGCCTATTGAATAAATACTTTGACCGAGTACCGGTCTAGTAGGCCTAATAAATTAAATTAGGCCTAACTAGTAACTGCTAAAATTAAATTAGGCCTAACTGCTAAAATTAAATTGTAGGCTATTTTGTTAAAACCTTTAAAGTATTGAGAGAACAGTTTGAAATTGACTTCTTTTTGGTTTGATATTTAATTCTTTCTGAAGTTCCATAATCGTCATCTTGATCTATTTCTAAATCAATGTCTTCAAACATTTCTGACAGTTCTGCGTAATCTGGACTTTCCGTTTGTGGCTGGGCTAAAGATTCTGTTGCCTCTTCCATTACAGTTTTCTGAAACAAGTGTGCCAAACTTCTGCGCGCTGCAATCTCTCGGTTGGTAAATGAATGGTCAAATCCAGCATTATCGCAACCCACTGGTTCATAATTGTGTCTTACACCCTGCATAATTTTACAAACTTTCGCGTCTGAATCTTTTTCTCCCTCAGTCTCGTTGTTGATCAAAGTCTCATGGTACGGAAATGACGTCATGCACTTGATTAAATTTTCTCTCCGAAATCAGCGCACCGTTCCTGAATATCTGACACAACTTTACTATGGTTGACAGGAACTGAAACGTTATTGGAAAGATGGATCCACGGAGTATTTAATTTTTATAATTTATCGACCGTATTTTATCTGGAACAAATATTAGATTGTATTCTTAAATTTTCAATTCAAAGATTTAAATTTGAAATCAAAGTATAAAAAAAGTTAAAAGTTTTAGACCTAGGGCCTACACCTAAAGTTCGTATCAAAGGTTGTTACTGATTAATATAATAATAATAATGTAAGAGAAGCCGTGTAAGAGATAGAGACCCGTATTCCATGTACCCATTTTGCTGCGTTTCCGCCGGCAAAAAAAAAAAAAAAAAAAATCAGTTTAATGACTAATGCAAAATGTAGTGGTACCGTTTCCATGTAACATGGAAAACGGGACTAAAGGGTATCGGAATAAACCTGGGCTCATAATGTTAAATCTTCATATTAAAATGTGATTGGAGACTTTTTGTGTTAAACGTGAAATATTAATAATAATATTTATAAAGGCAATCAGCAATCAAAGATTTTTATATAGATTAGTTAGGCTACACCCGGGAAATGATTTAGCCAACGACATGGCTGTCTATAAGAATATTTGAGGGCTCAGTCCAAAGCAATGTATTGGGACCCTAACATTAAGAAATTGTTTCCATATAACGCCGTTAAAACCACACAGGGGAGAGTGGGGACTAATGGGCATATGGGACCGATGGGCCACCCCTTGTATCAGACATCTGAATGGCAAAATCGAATTCTATAGGCCTTCATTAGATAAGATAAGATTTTTATTGTATCGAAACATCCATTGAGGACAGCATGCAATATAAACATGTAGGCCCTACATATATTTATAACAATAAGACAACGGTAATTTTAATCTAGCTTATATATATATACATTTAGGCTACTAACAGGACAGCAGTATTTATATGCACATTTATCTCAGACAGGTTTGGTAATGGCACAGCATTCAATACAATTATGATGCATGGGTACCCATATACATATTATAAATACATAAATAACGATTATGTAACCATGACCTAGCCTAGAATACATAGCTGATTTGCCTAGAGTGCTATCAACAGATTGTCTTACTACAGCCTCACAAGTTTTTTTGGGTTTTTTATTTTTGTTTTGGGGTATTTTTTCTTATATTTTGCAGAGAGAAAATGGGGTTTAACGTCCACTCGACACAAACTACGTCATGGTTCAATTTTATTTCAATAATTCGCTTGCGCGTAGGGGTCTTTAGCAGTGGGGGAAATCGGAGGTCCCGCAGAAAACCCACGAGCTTGGACAGGCGACCCTACTCGTTGTCACTTATAATCTTGGAATCGAAACCACGCCAGGTGACTCAATGACTGACCTGATGATACAGTGCGCATGTGCTAACCATTCGGCCATCCAACCCCCTCATATTTTGCAATATTGTACATGTCCCAATGTAATTAAGTGTCATCAAGATCATGACAAGATGTACTTTACACCAAATATGCCTAGAAGTTATCTAGGCTTTGCATTTAAAATCAAATGCCACTGTGACTGACTGTATGTAGGCCTACAGTTAATAAAGCTAAATATATATTTTAATGCTGTTGGGACCGATGGACCACCTGCAGGTAGGTTCCTATGGGCATGGCCCATGTGCCCCCAGAAGCATGACCGGTCCTGGTCATATGTTTTTATGAAAATTGTGCATAGGTTTCAAATTTATAATCTAGAGTTTTATAATACTAAGAAATAAAAAGAGAACAACAGAGAGGGGGATGTTTGATGACGAAACAATGCGATAAGCTGTGTAATTGTTATAAACAAATCCCTGCATAGTACCCACATATCAAGTATAGTTGGGGAATCGAAACATGCTACTTGGCTCAATGACAGATCTTCTGAATCTAACGCGCATGTTTTAACCAATTGCACTCCTCCCCCCACCCCCGCCACTGACTACGTTGGTATTATCAAGAATGGTGATAAAAATGGTGGCTTTGAAAAAACTTTTTCATAAGAGCTAAAAAGCAAACCATCTGTGCATTATTCATCGAGACAATAGTTGAAGATAATGACACTTTTAACACGCTCAAATAGAGTAACCATGCTTCCCGAACCAATAAAAATAAATACCACAAAAAGACCACAAGGAATTATTCGCTTAGGTGTTTCCATTGATGATTATGATATTATGATCTTACTTCAACAAAAAAAGCGCCAAAATGATATTTGTTTTTATTTATTCTTTAATTAATTGAAATGAAAGCTCTTGAATGTTTGTATATCTTATTGTAACCATTTCACGGTCCATTCGTCCCCATCAGGTGGTCCATCGGACCCACAAGCATTAGGCCCGATGGGCCATCCTGAGTGATGTCAGAAAACAGGTATAATTCCACTTTTCTTTAAGATATACATGTAGCACTGAAACTGTGAATGTTTATAAGTTAGTATCTGATGAATGAAGTAGGAAAAATTACTTACCCTCGATGATCTGTAACTTATTTTTAAAATAAAAAAATAAAATTCGGCCCGTCAGACCCCACTCTCCCCCAGTCACTCGTAAATTGCACGTGGGATAAGAAGACCAAATAAATAATATATATATATAACGTTTTGATAACTGGGTCTATGTTACTCTGTCACTCCGATCAATTGATCAACAAAAGACTGGATTTAAACAGATTAATTTTTCATTTTGCTTTTCTGTTGCCACTCATGTATACAAACTAATGTATTTTCTACATTTTGTCTACTTCAAATCAATTATTATTCAGCGATCTTGTTCTAAAACCATTAGGAAACAAGTGTAAAGAAAACAATTTCTTCGGTGATCTTTTTAAGTCTATTACGATTTCTGTTGGAAATTTAACTACAAAAAACACCCATAAATCAATTTAATTTAATTTTAGGGATACAACTAAAGTAATTATGTATCTCTTACGGTCCAATGAAGAACTTTAGTTCGAGAAAGCCAATACTGCGACCACTATATGAAGACAAATGGCGTTCAATTTATTTAATAAAAATCTGATTCCCTAACGAGTTGACGACGTAACATTTTCCACAAACTCCCCAGAATAAATAATTCAAATTGATGGTGGAAATTTGGAAGAAGTTGTAAAGATGGGAAATAGATAGCGAGACATCGATCTAAATTAGACCACTGGTGGCTTCAGCAATAAGAAAAAAAAGATATATTTTATTACGGGTAGATTAAAAGCGTCTATACGTCTTAAAAGTAAAATGGACAGTCATAGGTTTCCGAGGATGAATGATATTTAGCTAGACTGGTTTACTTTCGTTTGATTTTCTCTAAATGGAATGGTCTGGGTTGTTGTCATGTTGACAGCTCAGAATATTTTGCTAGTATCGTTTTTTTTTATTAATTTATATAAGGTACCCAAGCGAGATTTGCCAGAATAATGGAATCCATTCGACCTATACGTTTGTTAATCGGAAATAGACCCATTTTTTACACGAGTTATCGCGGTTCCACTTTTCATTTTCGGAACGAAGATAATGATCAATTTGACGTCTTACGCATTATCTCTTGTATGTAACTATTAATTGTTTTATATGAATCATCTAGAATGGAGACTGTATAATTGCTGTTCTTACTGTACATCATGGTGGGTCGAGTAGGCCTTCTTGGGAGCTATGGTGGCTCAGTGAATTAGTCATTGACTCACTAACCAGGAGGTCACCGAATTGATAACGGTGTTGGTCGAGGAGGTTCCTCCGGACTTTAAACCTAGTTTCATAGTTCCCCTCTGTGTAAAACAGAGAGGGTCTGGCATTGACAGCGTTTAGTCGTTCGGATGATACAAAAATACATTGTAAATATTGGCATTCACGTAACGAAATTGTCCTTCTCAGTTGGTGCGGAAAAATAGGACGTTTAAGCAGCCATTACATTTGCAGCTAAATACTAGACATACAATAGTTTGCACGACTATCATTGAACTTAAAGGAGCTAAATCGCTAATATTTGGGACATAGAAATTGACACAAATGGGTCGCAAAGCATAGAATAATGTAATGTGAATTTATATAAACTGATTTACATTCAACTGTAATACGCCAGAAGTCTCAATTAATAGCAGTATTTAGTGTCTGGTTATTCCAATCTACACCGATGATTTTTATTGTGCATGCTCTCCAGATAAGAATATAGCGTCACCATTTGACATGACTTGTGGAATATGTCTAGCCGCGTTCTTTGAGTCCCTTGTTCCAAAAGGCGCTGAAACGCATTATGGTACACGATTCGTGTACCAATGGTAAAATGTTTATTTTGTCTTGAATATTGGATATCAGAAGCCCATCTTTTCTCTGTAAGATCACAAGACCAATGTTGATTTGAACTGACAAACAATTCGTGTTTTCAATTTCGAAGATTTTTGATGATATTGAGACTTAGCTACTTTAAGGGTAAAACCTTGCAACAATAGGCGTCTGTTTCAGGAAAACAGTACACATTTAGCTAACCTAACACCACTATGGACGACAAAGCTGTTAGCGGATGGATGTTTGGTTGTCTGCCAATATTTTTTTACGAAATTAAAATTGTCAAGTTATACACACCAATCTCCGTGTCCTTATGCGTAAAGGAATAACCGCTAGGAAAAGAAGACGCCATGTTGACAAGAAACAGTCAGAAGATGATCTTGGAACATCGTCTCCTCTATGCAGCGCATGGCGACACCAAGTGCTAAATTAGCTATAGCTCTGGCATGAGTATATTATTTTGACACTGGCATAGGTCTTTTTTGTGCAGTGTTGTCTAGAAACAACCCTTCAGCAGAATTTTTCTTAAAAGTACATTTCAGAATAATACTGCCTTTGACGAACCCTTTGAATGGTTTTTCGTTATCCTATAAGAGAAACTTGTGAAGAGGGGCCTCAAAAGCAGAA